CACGGTGTGGTTTGGCGCTGCTGACTGGCATCGTTGACCGTCGCGTTCGTCCAATGATGCAGTCCGATGAACCATCCCCACTCCCCCTTCAGTCAGGGAGGGGCGCGTTCCTGCAGTAAATCCTCGCGCTAGACGGGGAGGGCCCTTGTCTGACCATACGCTTGTATCGATTTTAGTGCAACGATCTTGGGGTGGCACAAGCGGCGTACGCCGGCCAGCGGGCGTGCGTTCCTGTCTGGCGGCCACGACGAAGGGAAAGACTGCACCCTATCTGTACATAGTAGAATGGATGAATAGGGAGCTAGTACAGAAGCCGCCGATGATGTCGGCGGTTGTACTCGTAGTTTAGATGAGGGCAGCACGTTGGTAGCCGGGACCGATGGGCGGTACTGGAAATAACGACGAGACTGAACAAGGTCGACGGAAGGCTTGTCATTTTTCTTCTTCTTTTTCCCCTCCCCTGGGATGACAGGCCAGGGGAAGAAGGGACAGCGAAATAAAGATGGGCCAAAGGAGGTCGAATCAGTCGTGCTGTGCGCAGTGAGTGAGTGCATGGACTAGGGGAAAAGGTCGCGCCTGCCCCCGGCTCATTTGAGGAAATTGCTTTTTATTCGCCCGTTCCCACAATAAAACGGTTCCTCTCCATCCCCGGTCCGCCCACGGTGCCATCCTAGACTTGACAGGCCCAGCTAGGGCCACCCACACCCCCTTTTCCTTCTCGTTCATCTGGCTCTCCCACACCCCCAACCTTCTGCTCTGCTATTGAACCCGCTCTGGCCCAATATTTGCAGCAGCTTTCGTGTCTGGCGGTAGGACGACCCGGTGGGGATGATGGCCCACGATGGGCATAGCTGGTGGCAGCCAGAGCCAGAGCGAGGACCAGAACCAGCATCACACCGTCTGGCAAAGCGGCAGGCCCAGGTCCAGGTCCAGGTCCAGGTCCAGGTCCAGGGCCAGGTCCAGGGCCCATGTCAAGGCCCTCCCTCTCTCTATCTACTCCGTATTCTTCTTCTCCTGTCTTCGGCACAGGGCGCGATGGAGCAAGGAGCCCAGCAGCAGCACAACGTTGCCAATATCGGCACCACATTTCGGTACCTTGCCTTGCACAACACCAACCTTACCTTACCTACTTAGGTAAACTACCTAGGTATGGATACCATGCCTACATACATACCTATATACATATACACATACACGTACATACATACATGGCTATATTACCTATGTAGGTAGTTTATGTGGTACGGGAGCAAGGTCAAGGCTGGGAGTCGCCCGCACCGTCCCATTGGCCCGATGTTGCTCAATCTCCTCCTCCCCCGTCCCCTCGTTGGCTCCTCTCGCTTCGCTTCGCTCTACCTTGCAGCCTGCAGCTGGCCGCGCTGGTCTTGTGCTCCGTCTCGTCTCTTCTCGCTCCCGCTCTTGCATCTCTACCTCTCGCCTCTCTTTTGCTTCCCGTCACCCCCAAAAGGGACCTACTCTCGTTCTTCTTTCCCTCCCGTCCCTCCTCCTACCCCATCGTCGGTCGTTACTCTGATCTTCCATCCGCCAGTGACATCCCCCGACTTTCCACAATCCAAACAACCATTCATTGCCTGCCAGCAGGCTCGTCGCTCCTTTCCTTTTTTAAAAACACCGCCTTGGATTGTGTGAATGGGATCCACGGAAGCTAATCCGGTGTCAAACTCCAAAGTCGTTCTTTACCAGCAACCCAATACCAACAAACCCCGCCGACTGAATATCCTCGGCGCTCCGGCATTCTTTTTTTTATATTGCCTCCCTCTCCAGCATACTGTTCATCCGTCCCGAACAAGTTTGCTTCTCGGCCGATTCGATTCACCAGTTTTCTCGCACGATACCGCCCTCTCGAAACCCGTCTTCGCCTTCAGAGACGAGCTCTCGCGTGGCTATGGTGATTTAGCGTAATATCAATTAGCGAAGGAAGGAGAAAAATCTCAAGTCCAACCGTCGTCTTTCCCCCTGAGAGAATACCGACTGTTGCACGAGAGCCTTGCCAAGACGTATCCCGCCGTTTAGAGGAATTCCCGATGGCCTCGACATCTTTTAGCGCCAATGGCTACGTGATGGGCTCCCGGATTCCTATCCGGGACGTCAACCCCATCAACATGACGCCCACACCAGCTTCGCCCATTCGAATCGCCTCTCGCATCATCCGCGTGAGAGATGAGCAGTGTACCGGCTCGGCCACCCTATGCGAGAAGCCGGTCGACCCTTCCAGTCTGACCCTGCCCATCACCCTCGGAGTCACGTAGGTCTAAGGAACGATGCTGGACGCGACTATGGGCTGACGGTTATAGGATCCCCATTGTGGGCGCGCTTTTTCTCCTATACTACTTCCACCGCAGGAACATGAGGAGACAGGCACAGGAGGATGCCGTTGACCCCAACCGGGGACTGGACTTCGGACTGGGCGACGCCACCGTCGACAAGGGCGGCAAGAAGCGTAAGAGCATCATGTTTCGCGAGAAGGGTATGGGCATCGAGACCAACAAGCAGCGCCAGCTGTCCATGGACATGAACCTGTCCAGCCCCTACCTCCTCCCGCCCGGTCTTCAGAGCTCACGCGAGTCTCTGAACTCGCTCGCGAGAACCCTACACAACGAGGCGGACCCCTACCGCCCTGTGTATGCTAGCAGCGATGCCGGCTCCATCTACACCAAGACGACCAGCCGGCGGGGCTCCAGCATGACCGGCCGCACCACCATGACGCAGAACACCCTGCCCCCGAGACAGAACTCGCTCCCAAGGCCGCCGCCTCCTACCGCTCCCGATCCTTTCGCCGCGTCCCAGTCCCGGTCGGGATCGCCCAGCCAGCCCCCCGCCTCCCCGGTCATCACGTCCCCCACCTCCCCGGTCATCCGGAGCCCGCTCGCCGCCGAGCCCGTCATTCCCCAGATCGAGACCGTGCCGTCCCCCGGTGATGGGATGAGAAGCTCGCTTCCCCAAATTCCCGACGTCCCAGAACCCGAACCAGTCGCTCAGAGGGGCCTTCCCGGCAACTCCCGTCCATCTCCCGGTCACCCGACAATTCCAGAAGCTCGGGAGCCTGAAAATACCCCTGCCGACCAGACTAACGCCCCCGTCGGCCTTGGCTTGGATGACCTGAGCTTCCCTGCTACCTCACACCGCCTCTCACCCCCTGCCGGCGGAGCTTTACCCTCAAGTCCCCGGCCACAAAAGGAGGCCGTCCCTTCCACCCTCCCAGCCATTGTTCCAGAGGAAACGAACGCTCATGACCGTCACGATCAGGACCAGGACTACCAGGACTACCACGACTTTGACTTTGAAGACAGAGGCCGGTCTCACAGGCGCTCGGTGGACGACGACAACCGCCAGTCCCGCGTGCTCGGCGTCCCTGCCCAAGACGGCAAGAGACTCTCCGTCGGCTTCCGTCCTCTGCCCCCTGATGACGTGATGGAGTCGGAAGATCCCGAAGAGCGTGCCAACAGGATCAGATCCTTCTACAAGGAGTACTTCGATCCTGACAACCCCCATGCCGCCCAGGAACCCCCGCCTCCCATGCCTCGTGGCCCTCACCGAGGACCTCAGGGTGGCCCGCAGTACTACGAAGACTACGACCCGGGCTACTCCGGTGGTCCCCCCGGTGGCGACGCCTACTTTGACCCCGAGACCAACTCGTTCGTCATGCCCTACGCGCAGCCCGTCACCCGTCGTGCGATGACACCGCCGCCCAACGGCTCCCGCTTCCGCGGCCCTCCCCCTCCCCGGGGCATGCACGGATCCATGGGTGGTGGCGGCGGCCGCATGGCCAGCCCCGGCCCCGGCGGAAGGCGACCTCCCCCTCGTGCCGGCTCGGCCATCTCCAGCGGGCTCGGTCCTTCTCGCCGGGGCTCTGATATGTCCAGCCAGTACACCCCGCGCCCTGGCTCATCCGTGTCCAATATGACGAACGGCGGCCGGCCCAAGCCCAAGGGACCCCCCCCTGCCGATCTCACCACGCTGCCCAACCCGTCGAAGCTCAAGGACGACTCCTTTTCCATCCTGAACCCTCTCGACTTCGCGCCTCCCGAGAGCTTTGCCGACCGCGCACGCGGTCGCTCCCAGAGCCCGTCTGGAGAGAGACGACCGTACGCCCCCAAGGTTCCGGTCCACTCCCCGTTGGTGAGCAGCTTCGAAGAGATGCCTGCCATGCCCAGCCCGTGAGTTTCACCACGGCCCTCTTGCCTTGGAAGACACGCTAACGATGCACAGACACTTGTTGCGCAAGTCTGGAACCTTCACCGGCCTTGACTTTGCGCCTCCTCGCAAGTTTAAGGACGCTGACACGATGAGCGACGCCGGCAGTATCCGCAGCAACCGCAGCGGCATCTCGGCCGTCCAGCAAGCCGCCATCCGCAGCGGTGCCGGCCGCATCAGCCGCCTGCCGGGCGACACCGTCTTTACGACGACCGCCCTCCAGGACCAGCTGAAGCCGCAGTGGGGCATGCGTCCGTAGATGAGACCGCCGGCAGATTTTTCTAGTTGTTGATATCATTACTTTGATTCCCGCGCACTGATACGGCAGCGCCGAATCTACGGTTCACGACTTTTTGGCATCTTCGCACGTATAGGTATCTTTTCCATGTACATGAATTTGCACGGACAAGCACACACAAAAGAGGGACCAGCCCGCCAGCCAGTCTATGGAGGTCTCTTTTCCGGAATTTGCATAACGGTGTTATTTCTTCTCGCATTTAGTAGCGATGTACTGCTAATGTCTTTTATTTTTTTTTATTCCGTCGAAACCTCCCTGTTCAGAGTTTCGCTGCGTGGAGTATCCGGGTCACGACTCATCCGTCTATTTTTTATTGACTTGAACCTCATCCGTGCGGCCTTGCCCCCCGCCTAGCTTCGTTCGGGACCTTTTGCATATAGAAGAGAAAAAGGAGGGACTGGGAACTCTTGTACCATTCGCCGGCCAACAACAGTTAGATGATGAATATAACAGAAGTTTATTGAGCTGCGGGTTGACATGGTGACCATTAATTGGTGCTAACAACACCGAGGGGGACAGATGGCAAGTATCGCCGGTCATATAGGACCCTGGTGCCGTCGGACGAATCTCACCAGCAGAGTCTACAGGTGGCTATCTAGGTATGATTGTCAGCCCAGGCTCGACGGTTCCCACGATACCCCCTGTCTCTCATCACGCGGCTGCAGCAAACTCTAACGGACCCGCATTCACCTCGCTCGTTCCGTCGGGTAAACAATTTTTTCCACCCCACTACAACTCGTTTCGTACTCAACAGCAACGCCCAGAGCGGTCGAGATGCACCAGAGGGGGGGGGGGGGGGGGCGGACAGTCCGATGCTCAATATATAGCTCACAGGTGTCGATGACGGCCGTGCGCGGATTGGCACCCTTCCTCCTCTCCCTCGGGGCGTTGGACGGAATTTGGAGCAACCAATTCGAACGAAGCCGCCCCAATCGGACTAGGCGGGCACGGTATCACGGAAGGCCGGAAAAGTGTACTCAGTTGTCCGGCCCTACGGCGGCCAACGTTGGTGCGGCACGTACCCGTCGTGTGGCGATCGTCCCGACCAGCTGGTCGCGGAGTGGGTGTCTGCTTGGTGCTAAAACTTTGACCAGTCTCCTGCTTACGAGAACTTGCCCATGGCGAGTCAGGTTCGGCATGGTACGCTGCAGTATGGTTTCGTGTCCGAGAAACAAATCTACGTTTGCATCAGGGATCACCATGGGGGGACGCGAGGGAGAGGGGCGAACGGCTGCAGACGTCGACAAAGACCCGGTTCGACAAAATGACAACCGCCCAAAAGACCTTTAACAACAGAGTTGTTTTTAAATCGGACCTTTTGTTGACTGGCTTGTATACGACGGAGCGGGAGTGGTCGCGCTTGGCTTGGCTGGTAGTCAGCGGCGTTGGCTTGGATTCACGAGCCAATTATGATGGATGGAGGGCGGCTGGGTGATGGCTTTGGCGATCTGGGAGGGCACAGCCACGTGTGTGGCGTTTCTAGCAAACGGGCGGTCGGGCAGACGAGCGGCGTTGAGCTCGTTGAGCTAGCCAAGTGCTATCTCAGAGCCGGTCGGAAACGGGCTGGGAAGGATCAAAGACCGACCCGGCAAAGGCGCAAGTCATGTCCGGGAAGCACACGGTGGCGGGATCGTACAACCGCTTGCAGGGGCATTGGCGTCTGTCTGTCTGTACTGTATCTATCTGTCCGCAACTCCATACTGACCTGACCTGGGCCAACGTTGAGTTTGGGTAGTCTTTCAAGTGCAAGTGCCAGTGCCTGCGCTACCTCGCCACACAGCTGCTGCGTGCTGACTGCGTGCTGACTGCGCGCTGGCTCGAAGAGTCGGACGAGACGGTGTAGACGGGCCACCGGGTTCCGAGCTTCAACGGATGCAAGTACTGCAGCTCGGGCTGGGGTGACACGACGTCGAGCCGACTGCCTGGACACGACCCCAAGTGCTGGCGCTGCAGTCATCTGCTGCAATGCGAACACAGGTCACACGAGGAACGATTGGGGTTTGATGCGGACAGAGGCTTGAGTTTGCGGGGTTCTGGGCAAGGTTGAGATGATGGGATGGATCAAGGGCAAGAGATATTGCCGCCATATTTCCAAGGACAGAGGGGGGGGGGCTTCGAAGTTTCGCCAATGCTCCAAGGATGTGGAGAGGACGTGAGGGGAACATGACGTTTTGCCAGCCGGGTTGGTCGGTGCTGATCTTTGGCTCTGAGGCGAGGTACCAGACTGAAGGTATTAGTGAGTGATGCCGCCATTATTTGGCCAGTCCTTTCGTCATATCGGGAGCACCCTTGGCGATATTACCCTGTTGCTGTTTCCGGATGCCCAGCTAGGATTGGATAGTTGGAGAGGATAAACGTCATGTGGGGGTATATGTGCCAACGGAGTGAGTGATAATACACGCCGTGGCGAGCGGCACGGAGGCGCAATCCTACGAAGCAGGTTGTCTCTGTAATGGCACATACGTAGCGGTCGAATGAGATAGGGCAATACGTAACAACAGAGCGCCGGGTTGCAAGTCGGAGGTGGGCGGTGGCGTGGCGTGTTTGGCGCTGGATACGGGTTCTGCAGCTCGGGGGTCTATACCGCTGCCTCCCGGTGACAGAAGGTTTAGCAGCCAGACAGAGTCTGATCTTGCCTGCCGAGCAGTATGGGGATGGGCGGACAAAGGCATAAATTGGATTGAAGCAAATAAGCTCGCGCCAATTGCACGGGCGGAGGAAAGAGCGGCTGCTGGCCAGGCCGAGCAACCCTCGACGACGGGCAGGCCGTCGAGGCATCCATGTGCAACAAACACACACCATTGCGAAGCCAGGAACCCAAGGAAGTCTACGGAGTACGTAGAACAAAAATGGCTGTACAATCAACCCTCATTTGATTGGCCTAGGCCCAGCTTCCATCCGACGAGGGCTGCCGGGATCCCTCGCCTGTTGGTCTTCGAAGACCCTACGACGGCCTTCGCTGGAGTTTCTGATGCCCATCAGTCGAGGCCAGGCAGGACGCGCCTTCTTGTGCCTGGTCGAGCGAGTCCAACGTTGCGTCGATCTGACCGACGGAAGCGCGCATCTGACGCCATGCCGCCGCCGTCTTTGTAGCAGATTGATAGGAATCGCTCAAGAGATTGGATGCGGTCCACGCCGAAAGGGACATTCGTACAGGCCGTGGATCAGCAGCCCTGGATTCTTTTTTTTTATTTAAAAAAATTGTTTTGGGATACGAACCGCTCCACAAGCGCCTCGGGCGAACCCACTGCACCAGGCGGATTGCCAAGCCGAGAAGCTCGTTCGGTCACGGACGAGAAGACGAGAGGGATGGTCGAAACAAAACACACGCATGAGGGATTGTTTGTGTAGTAGTTGATGTTATTGTTGTTGTTGATTGCTGGCGTGTACAACAAGACCCAAACGGCGTCGAAGGAAGCACGCGTGGAGATTGAGCGTCGCGAGCCAGGAGGACCTCGACGAAACGTTGGTGGCATGCTTAGTGAGGCGTTAGGCTGCGGTGGGCATCTCGATGCAGTTGACGGACGGGTGGTTCGACAATTTGTGGACATTTCTCGACCTCGAGTCTCGGCATTGCGTAGAGTGGTCGCGGGCGCTGGCAGTCTTCCTTTTGGTTTCTTCCTTTTTAATTCTTCCTCTTCCCCCCCCCCCCCCCCCCCCCCACCCTAGACCCTGGGAAACGAGTGATGGGGTCTAGGCATGGCGCCTGCTACAAGGGCAGGGAAGTGAGCTGGTCTGGAGCCGTCGACCGTCACTCGGGATACGAAGGCGGCGGACAGACCCGTCGATGCCCCCAGCGCAGCGAGCGTATATTCTACTGATGAGGCAGATGCCGACCAGGGCACAAGGGTAGCCGAGCCGTGATGCCGGCCGTCAGAAGAATCGTGAGAGGGGACGAAACGTGAGTGGCATGGTCTGCTTTGAGCTGCTGCTTGCACGTCTGCCCTGCGAGTCGCGTTTGAGGTGTACGAATACGTCCAGGTCTGGCCGACAAAGGTGGACAATGTGGACGGACTGGCGTCCGGAACGCACAGCGAATGTAAGATTGTCAGGGGAAAGACTCGACATGCAGCGCCCGGGCCTGTGGCTTTGCGCCCTCTGGCCCGTTTGAGCCGGAGACAAGAAGCAGCAGCAGGCATTCAATGCCAATGAAATGGGAGGAGCCCAGCATTCCCGAGTCCAACGACGCGACTTTGGCCTGTTTATGTCTAGTGTAGGTAGTCGGGGGGTCCAGGCTTAGTGACATTGCTCTGACCAGCCCTGGGCCTTTTCCCCCCGGCTTTTGCTCCTGGCCAGGGCTCCTCGGGAACTTTACTTGTGCTGGCGAGCCAGAAGAGGCAGTGGTACAGCCATTCGCAATTTCAACGGGCATGTGCCGCAACAACTGCAAGATGACTGAGACACTGGATATGACAGCTCTTTCGCCTCGGGCCCTGCTCCAAGAGCTTCAAAGGGCTACCGGCGGGCTCGAGCATCATCTAGTCATGGCATCGAGGTAGTAGCCAGCCGGGGCCTTTGGAGATGGTGAGCTGTCAATTCTTTGCAGCGTGCGATGGACGACTTACACTAGACGTAATAGTAAGTACCTGGGTAGGTACCTATGTAGAGGTACATGGTCGGACGTGCAGGTCGGCTACAGGACGCCAGTACCGACGCCAAAGGGGTCACTGCAGCTCAGCTCAACTTAACTCGGCTCAGCGCAGCGTGCCCTGCCACTGGAGCCATGACCTACCTGCTGTCTCCTGCTACCACCACCCGGGCGGCATGTCAAGAAAAAGGGTTTGGACGTTCTTCTCTCAGCCAATCTACTGCACGTTTGGCTTTGCGCCTGCATCTGGCTTGCAACGAAAGAGAGAGAGAGAAGTATATATGCATGTGTGTGTGTGTGTGTGGGTGAGAGATAGAAAGAGAGAGGGGATGAAAATAAGAAAGGCATTTCTCGGGGCCAACTGGACACGAGACGAGACAGACACAGCGCATGAAGACGCGCCGGCCGTCCATTGAAGGCGTAAAAGGTAAAAGGTGTACAATATCCGTACCGTAGTGGCTTTAGGTACCCCCATTGGGAACTTTGGGGACGGGCGGACGACTGGGCAGCTCCACCTTCGATCTCACTTGCTCAAAACATACATATTCCCGCCTTCCTCTGCCGCTCCTTCGGAGCCTCCCTCCCCATCCTTCGCCCTCCCTTTCGCTGCCTTTCGTCAATATCCATCCTCCTTCCCAGCCCCGGTTCCCCGTCCTTCATCCCTCCTCCCACCCCGGTCCTTCCTTCCTTTTTCAATTGCTAGCAGCATCATCGTCACTCGGCACCCTTCCAAGAATCGCGATTACATCCTTCCATCCTTCTTCTCCTCTTTTCCCCTCTTCCCGCTTCTGCCTTCTTTCTCTCCTGCTCTCTCCCCTCTCCCTCTTACAACATACTCTAATCCTTTCTCTTTGTCTGTGTTCCTCCCGCCATCGCGAATCGAGTCCACTTCACTGCGGATCGACACACCTCGTGCGGCACCACCACCACCACCACCGCCGCAAACTAGGCCTTTCCAGTCGCCGACCCTAACGCCGACCCGCGACATAGTCAGGAGAACGACGGTTTCTGACTCAGCCACTAGGGCCAATTAATTACCTATCGACCCGTTCGTCCAGTCTAAGCGCCCACGCAACGCACCACCCCCAACGCGACAAGCTGCTCTCACTTTTTCACCCCAAAAAAAACACAATCCTCAACGACCCGTAGCGCCTACGCAACCGCGTCTCCAGGCCTCTTTCTCGAGGCCCCTCCGACTTGTACCGCCGTGTGTTGTTTCTCTGTTCGACCGAGCCTCTTGAACCGACAAATCGCTGCTTGCAGGCCCGTGCGGATCTGCGAGTTGCGTGAGCGAATCGCTCGTATTCAAGGTACGTTGTTCGATGCTGTGCTTCCAGAGTCTTGCCCAGTGTACACCCTACGGCACCTGTGCCGATCACAGCTTTACCTCCCAAGAAAACCGGCTGCGTCCTGCTGTGCTCATCGCACACAAAACCACTGCCGTCACCTGCGTCGGCTCGTGCATGTTCAATTCGTCGTCCCATCTCCCGCCTCGTCGACCTTCCACCATCTTCTCTCACACAAGCTCGGCGATGCAACCATTGGTACTCCTTCCAGTCGCTAACACGGCTCCCCCCTCCAGGCAGCATCTGCAACTCTCGCTGAGACAGGAAGACGCCATGTCCACCAACGTCACGTCTCCGGAAACCGAAACGAAGACGGGCCCTGCCACGACTCCTGGTACAACCGTTTCTGTTGAGAGCAGCGCTCCCCCTGCCACGAGTGATCACCCGGCCCAAACTACCCCCCCAGCTCCCACGACTGCACCCGCCCCTACGACCCAAGCGCCGGCTCCGACCACCTCCCAGGCTCCGGCTCCGCCAACCTCACAAGCACCTGCGCCGACGACCTCGCAACCACCAAGTCCATCTCAGACCACTGAGGCTCCGGCCTCGCAGCCGCCTCGGACCACTCTTATCGTGTCGACCATCGTCATTACGCCGACGGAGGCTGGCGGCAAGACAAGCACCGTCTATACCGTCATCACCCAGACCCAGGGCGTAACGCAAAACCCCACCACCGCCAGCTCGTCTGCATCTGCCACATCTTCCGGCGGCGCCATCAACTCGGGCGGAAGCTCCAAGAGCGGTCTTGGCAACGGCGGCACCATTGCCGTCGCCGTCGTCGTGCCCATCGCCGCCGTCGCCCTGCTCATCCTGGCTGGTCTCTACTTTTGGAGGAAGAGGAAGCAACGCAAGGATGCTGAGGAGGAGCGTCGCAAGGAGGTCGAGGACTACGCCTACAACCCCAACGCTGACCCTACCATCCCGCCCCTCGGCGATGGCGGCTCGTATGAGATGAAGGAGGACGCTGCCTCGTCCGGATACCGTGGCTGGGGCTCTACAACTCTTGCCGGATCCACCGGGCGCAAGGCGTCCACGACCATGTCCGGGGGCAACACAGGTGCGGCTTACTCGGACACCACCCCGCCGACTCGTGGAACTGACACCTATTCAGGGGAGCCCTTGATCAACGAAGGCTCGCACTCGCCCGATGGCGAGATCCTCGGCGCCATGGGCCCTTCGGCGGCCCTGAACCGCGGGGCCGGCGTCCAGCGCGGACCCTCCAACGCCTCGTCGTCGTACAGTGCCGGCAATCACTCGGACACCTCTGACGGCATCGGTATGGCGTACAGCGGTGGAACCAGCAACGGTAACGGGTACTACGACCAGTACGCCAACAACCCGTACTCCGAAGGCCCCTACGACCAGCGGGCCACCGAACTCCCCGGCCAGCCGGTCATCCGCGATAACCCAGCCCGGCGCAACACTCGGATTGAGAACCCCTCCCACTACCCCCAACAGCAAAACGCCGGCATCTCGCAGAACTTTTAGGAGAACCTGGAACTGCATCGCAAATGTTTTGTTATCATTCGGCCTGCTGGGGCTCTGTTCCAAAGATACCCCACCATCTCCACCAGGCCAACGGTCTCGAAGCCGAGACCTGAACGCGGCGTTTACGGCCTCACGGGTTCATGTCATATGGTGGCGCTTTTGCTACCTCGAGAACCACACTCTTTATTAATATCGTCCACTATGCTGGCTCATTCGCAGTGCTCTGAAACGACGCACCGACAGCGTGGGGATCACAATCCGGTTCACGCACATGATTCGTTCACCGTATACATACTACCAATTTCAGGGACTCATTATCTGCGGAAGCCGCCAAGGAGCATGCCGCTTCAATCTAATAGGGTGTATATAAAGATAATGAAGGCGCACGGGTAATGTAATCTGATGCGGCCTGGGGATAAGCAGTCATTCCTGCCTCGACGGCAGGGGGAGCTGCTGCATGAGAAAAGTTTGAGGATTTAGCATATCAGTTAGGTGGTAAGGAAAGCAGGGACTTAGCCGGGTCGATTCGACCTAGGAGCAAAGCTGTTCTAGACATGTTCGAATGAATATTCCTTTGTCAACCATGCCGATGCTAGCGTAGACTACGCTGCCGTTTCGTTCCTCTTGTGCAGAACATTTCACTATGTGCAGGACAACAAGCATAGGCTAGCAGCAATGGCCAGGCGTCTCAGCAACCCCCCATACCCTCGCTCAGCGCGACCCTATCCCACCAGAACCGGAACTGCTGGATCTCGAGCCCCGTCAGCGTCCGCACCCGCGCCACGGCGCCCCTCTGCCGCTCGCCTTTCCTCCCCATGAGCTCGTCGTTGCCCTCGCCGAACACGAGGATCCTGCCGCGCGTCTCGCCCGGGTCCTCCGGGTCCGGGACCGAGTCGCCCGCGGCGTCGCCGCCAAAGGGGCTGACGAAGCGCGGCCAGGCGACACCGCTGGCGTTGGGGAGGGCGTTGGGCCCCTCGGCAGTGGCCACGAAGGACGACCAGTACCCGTGCATCGCGTCCGAGACGGCGAGCAGGCCGGGCGTCCTGTGCTCCGAGAGGACGTCGGTGTCGTGAGTCGCGGCGGGAACGTGGTCGCCGTGGTTCGCGGCGGCGAGGTCCGCGTGCGCGGCGTACTCATACACCCACACAGGAGCGCCCTTGGCGGAGGCCAAGTGCGCCGAGTGGAGGAGCGGCGCGATGTAGCCGTAATGCCCGTAGGCCTGCGCTAGACGCCGGAACTGGACGCCGTGGGCCGGGGTCGGCGGGGGAGGGTAGGTCGACGCGGGCGGGTAGAGGGACTCAAGGAGCCCGAGGTCCTGCGGGGTGAGGGCGGGGATGAGGCCGGAGAAGAAGTCGGCCAGGGCCGTAGGCGAGGACGCGGCGGCGGGCACGAACATTGTCCCCTCGGAGGCATTGAAGCCTGTGACCAGGGGCGGCGGTTGAGGGAGCGAGGGGGATGCCCAGGCCTGGATGGGCGGTTGAGGGATGATGCTGTCCTCCTCGCCGTCAACGGAGGGCTGGAACGGCCACTGGACGGAGGCCGCGCCCTCGGCCCAGGTCGCCAGCGAGGCGTCCAGAAGGGTCCGGAGGGGCAGAGCGCGCAGGGCGGGAAGGACCTGGTCGGGCGCATCACCGGACACGCCGGCGTGGGTGAGGAACCGGGCGAACTGCGCTTCATGGCGGGGGTGCGTCGACAAAAGGACGGAGCGGGCCGTGGGCGCCCCCGACTCGAGAATCGCGCGATGGAAGAGGGCGCGGGAAGGTGGCGAGAGGACGTGGTGGCCGAGCTGGCTGGTGTCAGTGTGCCCTCCACGCACGCATGCACGGAGACGGGGGCAAGGGGACGGACCGAGTGCGCGCCTGCGCTGAAGCCCATGACCGTGACGTCCTGCTCGTCACCGCCGAACGCGGCGATGTTCCGCTGGACCCACTGCAGCAAGGTCCTCTGGTCTAGCAGCCCGTTGTTCGCGATGCCCTCGCGCGCGGCGACGCCGCAGGGGAGGAAGCCCAGCGGTCCGAGCCGGTAGTTGAAGCTCACGGCGACGAGGTCGCGCTTTGCAAACGCAACAAAGGCCGCCAGATTCCTGTCCCCGCCACGCCCAAAGTTGAAGGCGCCCCCGTGGACTGGGCGCACTCGTCAACGCGTGGCCGGACTGCGGCGAAAGGGGGCAGGGGACTCACTGTAAACTAGCACGGGCACCTTCTTCCCCTGTTCCATGACGCCCTGGACACGCTTGCTCTCGCCTGCCTCTGTCGGGCGAAAGACGTTGGCATTAAGACACTGCTCGTCAGACGGAAGCGAGGGGTCAGCCGTCGGACACACCGGGCCGTAGTCCGAGGCGTCAAAGGTGTCCGCCGAGGCCTTGGGAGGTACCGCACGCCGAAGACGTTCGCATCTTGCGTACGGAACGCCGAGAAAGGCCTCCACGACGCGCGGGAACTCGGGTTCCGCGAGGGTTGTGCCGATGTACGTCCCCTGGTCCAGTCGCACCGTGGGCCGCTGGTCCAGGGTCGGGCTTAAGACGGGGGGACTCATTCTCTTAAGAAGCGCTGGAGGAGTGACCGAGGGGGGGGGGGGGTTACAGGGTGCCAAGTCGTCTTAATTGAGCGACTGAGTGATGTCTTGAGCACTTTTGTAATTTCCACCTGTTCGAAATGCGGCTGTCACAGTGGATGCGAAGTGGATGTTAAAAATGAACGGCCCATTCAAACGGGTGTCGTTGATATGCTCCGCTAGTGGCCGAATACCCACCAGCCGTGCGGCCCCGCGCTTTCTCCGCGGCAAGGGCCGGAGCGCTCGGTATAGAACAAGGCAGATTCAACAGTCGCCTGGGCATCTGGTTTCTGCTGAAGGTTTCACCCGCAAGATATTTCATGCGCATCATGTTAATAGACAGATTCCTTATTGGGTCTAGAAGCCTAAAACAACATCAAACAGCGGACACCCCAGCTGGATGCATGGTGAGCCGAACAGCCCCAATAAAAGCATTACAGACCAAATCCTGCGCATAGGGCGCACCTGTTCGCCGCCGTTTCCGCCAAATAATAAATGCCCTCGCCCCTAAACTCCACGCAATCTCGATACAGGTGCTAGCTCTACGCGTTAGTCGAATAATTTACAAGGAAGACTGGCATATGCCCATAAACAACAGCTTCTGGCAATGTCTCACGCTGCCTGACTGGCCGTGGCAGCCGTGGCGGCGAGCTGTTTACGTCTCTGCTTCTCGGCCCATTCCCGACCGGCTTGCCTGGAGCGTTCGGCGGCCTGCTCGCGAGCCATCTTGGCATTCCATTCACGTTCGCGACGTTCTCGCTCCTTATCCTTGATGTAGCAATTGTCGCGTTGGAAGATCTCCTTGCCTATGTGCCTCTGGTGCTCCAGGTCTTCGGCCGACAGCGTGCTTCGCTTGCCACTCATGCTACTCGTCGACGTCGACGTAGCACGACTGGCCTGGTCCGTCATCGCCGTCAACGACATACCTCTGCCTCGGGTCTGAGGAGACCTCGTTGAGGAGGTCCTCGCAAGGGTGTGCGGGGTACCAACCATCGACCTGCGCTTGGATTGGCTTTCCTCGAATCGACATTCGTCCGCCTCGGACCCCTTGTTTTGACGGGCACGACTGGTCACGGTCTCTCGAGGAGGTACAGCGGAACCGAGATTCGCCTTGATAGGGCGCGCCTTGAACTCGCGCCGCTTCCGTTCTTCCTCCTCCTGTGCCTTGAGACGAGCCTCTCGCTCCGCCCTCTTGCGTTGCGAGATCGCCTCGCCGGGAAGCTCGAAATTGGGCCGCGTCGGCACCTTCAATGACCTGCTTCGCTGCGGGGCTGGCGGCGCGGCCTTCGCAGCCTGTTGGGCAAGGCGGGCCTCGCGCTGTTCCTTGATCCGCCGAGCTACGGCTTCTCCTGGCAGCTCAAACGAGGGCTTTGTAGGGGCCTTTGTGGATTTGACGGGTGGCTTGGGTGGCAGCAAGCTGGTCGGGCGGGCTACAGTGGATCTTCTGGTGGGCGATTTCCCTGGCGATGCCTTTGCTGCGTCGTTGTCTGTCGCCGAGACCGACTTCCTCTGCGCGGTGCGTGCTAGTAGAACAGGCTTGAGCTCAGCGCCAGTTGAATGGGCCCGCTTCAGCGTCGAGGTCGTTCGATTCATGGCCGTGACAGCCGCAGTTGCGCCATCATCTGTTCTAGACCGGTTCCGGCCCGACTTAGTGGGCGTTGCCAGCCGTGCGGCAATGTGTACGGCCTCTAACTCCTCTTCGAGCCTGTCAATAGCCTCGACGGAGTCTTCAATCCGAGAGCGCGAGCTGGTGGAGGTAGACCGAGAGGGTGTGCGAGGAGCCCCATTTACCGGCACACTGCCCTCGTCCGTAGAAATGGAAGCCACTCTGCCTTTGCAGTTTTCGATCTGGTCCAAAGACGGCTCCTGTGTATGCCTGTCCTCGGCGACAGAGACAGCGAACCCCGAAGGCGCCGAGTTGTTCATTGCAGCCTCCTCCCCGACACGAGTTGGCGAGGTCAGACGAACAGAGGGCTCCGCGACGGCGGCCATGTCTTCCGTCTCTCCAGAGGGCTGAGCCGCGTCTTGATCTGCGTCTTCAGTCACAAAAGGTGTGGCTAGAATCTTGTAGGCATTAGCTGGTTTGCTCTGGCCGCAGACACCTTCACGAATGCAATCGGTCTGCACCAAGACGTTGCAGCCAAAGTCCAGCGTCAAGCCGCCCCGTCCGCTGGGCGCGTTGTCGCGCTTGGCCCCGCCGTCCGGGCCCAGAACCGAAAGCACATAGTCATACTGACCTGCCTTGTGCCGTGCGATGGATGACTCAATACCAGGTTTGATGCCCAGAGCGTGGTGATCGAGGTTGGCTGCGCAGAGGACTGAATTGGTTAGCAGGATAGACACGGCGCGATGATCGGATGACCAAACCTTGGGTCAAAAAGTTGGGGTCGCTGGCTTCAAATGAGTTCGGCGCCTGGCCAAAGAGGGCAGATTGATAAGTGCTTGTTTCAGCCGACAACGGGACACCCTCGTCTTGTTTGTGCCTTTGAGGCAGCCAGTCAGGGAATGGTCCTTGCGTGGATTCGGTCACGGCCGAGTCTCGGGTCGAGTGCTGAGCTCCTTCCTTGACGTTGCCGAGGGTGCTAACGATCTTGGTATCAATGGTCAATCGGTTCAAACGGCAACACACGGGGGCCAGCAGTGACCTGTCGACGCGGTCCTTTTTAGGACTATATATGTGAAGCTCCTTGAGCTTGGCGGTTAGCGAATCGATGAAGTTTGGCGTGTTCTCGCCACTGTTAGTGTCACGATCTCGGAGAAGAGCAAATTGGTTGTAGCTGGGCGCGTTGCCGGCAGCATTGTGGCCCGGACCAGATATAGTCATGTTCTCGAAGGTACCAAGCCCGTGGGCCGATGCCTTGGATCGAGAGAGGCGCCCCATTGTGCTCGTCAATCTCCGAATCCGAACTGAACTCAAGACAGGGGACTGCCAACCCCAGACAGTTGCAATACAGGGGTCGGTCCACCGTCTCGAATTGGAGGGCAATTACACCTGGGAACAGCCGGGGTATGGTAATATGGCGGGGTTATTGGCTGGAACACTATGCAGTATTTGGGGCCGTTCGAAACAGTGTCGAGGAGGGCCGGAACAGGACTCCAAAAAAACAAATCAAAAAAAAGCTTTGCGACGATGGTGGGCAAAAATGCTCGATGTGAGTGATGGAAGCGAGATGGCAACACGACAAACGGCGTGACGTGGAGGACTGCTTTTCAAGCTTGTCAAGGGCGATGGCTACGGCGGAAATTGGCTTCAATTTGGTCTTTCCCCTCGCAGGATCTACATGTCAGTTTCCGCCAACAACCAGCGGGGCAAGGCCACAGACCAATGCTAGTTTGCGGGCACGGGCGCTCATGGCAGGCTCGATCAGTTTCGAGGCCCTGGCGAGGAAGAGCCATGATTCACGAGCTGACTGTTGGACGCCCGTCTCGCTGTAGCAACGACGCGATGACCACGTGACGCGTCCGACTCGGTCGCGTCTTTCCGTGCGGACCCCGCACCCAATTGTTGACTTTGGTGGAGCATTCCTGCCCAATCGCCATCCCAAGAGTGCCGGAGCAGGTATCCGTACAATACCTGCCTACTTAGGTATTCGCGGCATGCCGCACTGGCGGGTGCTGCCCGCGGTTCCATTCAGCTTCCAGCCTGCTCTAGCTGCTGACCCAAGAATTCACCTTTGCACCTGTAATCCTCGAGGGCTGATGGCGCGTGTCGGTGGAAAATACAGGTGGTAGACAATACGACGCAGCCGTACGTGCGCCGTCCGTCGTGATGTGAGACATGTTGCTTTTCGGTCGCATGCTGTCTTCCAAACCCATCCATCATGGAGTAGCCATGCTGTTCTCTGCGGACTCCGCCATGGTTTCGGTCTGCGCTTGCAGCGTTGGGGCATGCTCCGTCGGAATGCGAACCAGTGTTTGAGGGAGAGGAAGGCTGGCGCCTTCCGGTTCCAACGGTTCTTCTCCTTGCGGCTTGGTGAGGTGGGCTGAGATGCAGTGTTAGTCTAGGACATGTTCTTCTTCGCAAGCAGCCGCAGCATACCGGAAGCCATGTTGATGGCACGCAGCACGTTATGCCAATTGCCAACGACCATGGCAATCGCTAAGATCCATCAGCCCTGCCTCTGGTCGGGAGCCGGGAATCGGCCGTCCTCACCTTCTGTTCCGTCCGAAAGAGTAGCTAATTTCTGCTCCAGAGCCTCCATCTGGCCTGCAACAGCGGCGCTGAGGTCGCGAAGCTCCTTCAGGTGCTCCAGCTCAGCCTTCTTCTCGGCGATACGCGCAACCAGCATGGGCGACGGGCCTGCTGAAGCATTATGCGACCCCGCCCCGGGGAGCCGAGTCGAGAGGGACCGTGTTGGGAACGACATTCTTGCTTCCAAGGGAGACTTCGTTTTGCGTTATCGAAGGGGTCGTTGTACGCAGGACGCTGGTTGAGAATGCTGAGGATCGTGGTGGGGTGGTGGCAGCTGGGTGCGATGCATAGTCAGAGGAACCACCGTCAAAAGACTTAACGAGCGTGTGCACATGCAAAGCAGGCGGTGGGGGGGATTGGCCCGTCCGGATGCGCCCCCAGCAACCCCCTTTCCCTGCAATGCTTACTTACACTAGTCCCGAATAGGCCGAGTGTAAATAAACGACACTTCGGTAAATTTTCTCTCAGACCCCCCAGACCCCATCGTCACTCCCAGCCACCTTTGTGTTGTGTCGTGCATGCTTCGCTTCGCTCACCTTCCCATTCCTCAGTTTGGTCCCATCGCCTCACCTCGCCTCGTCTTCCTCCTCCAGAATGCACCATGGCCCGACTAAACGAACCTCCCGTATCCGCAGATAGCATCGACACGCGTATGTTTTCTTCGTTGCTATCAGTGCATCTTGTAGGCTAACTTTTGTTAAAGTGCGTAGGAAGCTGCTGCGACAAAACCGTGACCTTGCCAAGGCCAACGCCATTCATCTGGCCCGCATCAAAAACCTCGAAGCCGACTATTCTCGATGCTTGTCAGATAATATCGAACTGAACGGCCGCATCATCGGGCTAGAGAAGGAGCTCGAGAACAGCAATGCCCGGAGAATAGCAGATCATGCCCTGGACATCAGATCTAGGCTCGAAACGCAGCTGATGGATTGCATGTCACTTATTGCAAGCCTCGGTCAGGAACCTCCCACGAAACGACACGCGAGTCCCCGAGGGCGGAGGATCTCGAGGGCCAGTCTGTCGCAACGCAGCCCGCCTCAGAGACGCCCGCCAAGGGAGTCGACCAAGGACACCGAGGCCCGAGCGCTGCAAGAGGGCCGTCTGCCTCCCATCGCAGAGAACAAGTCATACCCCAGAGCAACGCTTGAGTAGGTCGGACAGCCTTCATTGTCGGCGCAGTGCTAACAGCTTCTAGCCGCGAGCAGATCCTAGCCCTGTGCTCGGAGGCCGCAGACATCACAGATGCCGCTGACACCACCGACTCCCCAGAACTTGGGCCACCGCCGTTGTCGCGGTTTGTCGATACGGATTCCGTCAATATCGGATCTCCCCACCAGCCCTTGGACCCCGTAGAACCAGAGATTACACACAGCTCGCCGATGCTGTCACCCTCGCCAGCGCCCGCACCACAGCCGGCCCTTGCACCAAAGACAACGAATAAGTCCGACAAGGTCGTCATCGTTCGACCTGATCCCGCTCCCACGAGCGAAAAGGTCCAAACCGAGGCCAAGCGTTCACCCACAGAAGATCACAGCTTGCCCCCTGTGATGCCGCAGACCACCGTCAAGGTCGGCTCGAAGCGGAAGTACTGTATGGGCGATGACACGACCAAGAATAGCAAGCCGATCGCCGAACTGCCGAAACCAAAAGAGACTGAAGGACGTCCCGACGCCGCGCGCGAACAGCCCAGCGGGCAGACCTTGAAGGAACTGGCCAACAGGCGACGTGAAGCCAGGGAGCGCATGTCGGCGCCACTGAACCCGAGGAAGCCGTTGTCGGCCAAGAGCACAAACGACGACATGACCTCGCCCGTGAAGAGTGCCAAGGTCGGGGCAGACAATGGAAAGGCACCTGAGAAGCCCAAGCCGCGGGCAGCAAGGGAGCGGGCGGCCCAGAAGATCAAAGAGGAAGCCGAGCCCGAGTCGCCCGTGGAGGTGCCTGCTGCTTCACCACCGCCACCTGCACCCGTTACCGAGGTTTTGCCAAGCACGGAGACTGTCCCTACGGAAGCTGCTTTGCTGTCTCCGGCGTCGCCTGATCCCACCTCCAGAATGAGCCTACCCAGTGTGCGCGACACGCCGCCGCCCACAGACATCTCGTCTCGCGGCGAGACATCCCGGCCGAGCAGGAGGGCAAGAGCTGCCGTCAGCTACGCCGAGCCTAACCTACGGGACAAAATGCGTCGTCCCACGAAGGAGCTGTATGACGCCGTTACCGGCCAGACCAGATACCTCCAGCGCAGCGGGAGCGCCAACGCAGAGCAGCTCTTTAGCGAGGGGGTTGTCGTGGTCAAGCGCGAGTCTAGCGAAGAGAGCACTTGGAAACAGATTTCGGCAGCTATGTCTCCCTCGCGGGATGCCGCACAACGCGAAAAAAGCCCCAATAGCCCAATCAACAGAGCAAAACCAGCGGAGCCGATGCTTACTGTGGTGAAGCCTCTGCGCAAGAAACGCTCGTCTTCGATGATGTCGGGATCTATCAGCGAGAGCGAAGGACAGAGACCGTTCCAACAACAACCCAGCGGCGCTTCCGTCTCTGGCAAGATCATCAACAGCCAGCCCACTCCGTCGCCCGAGCGGCAAACAGATCCTTACGAGTTCAGGACCTCGATCACAGCCGGCGATGATTCCTGGGCTGAATCCAAGGAGGACGTCGCCCCGGCGCGTCAGTCAAAGTCCTCGCGACGCCTCTCGTCTGTCATGAGGGAGGACTTCAAGGCTGATAGGACGGACGGGGCCGAACGAGCAAAAGCCGGCGGGCCCAAAAAGAGAGCATCGATGGTACTACCGAAGAGGAGCCACTTGGAAGCCGAAAGCCTCGAAGATAGTAGCTTTGAGAGCGTGGAAAGCGGGGACTTCCCGGACACGAGGTCAAAATCCTCGATGAGAAGACGGAGCATGATGTTGTAATGACCCCCCACCCCCACGACTGACTGATGAGCATTGGTGTTTCAGGAGTTGGATACGTTGGTCAATACCACCCTCCTTGTTTTGTTTCGGTTTCTGTTTGGCTTTCAGGACGCGTTTCGTTAGGGATACCACAGAGAGACCCGGCCGAGTTTTGTGTGCATATAGGTGCGAGCATAGAGCCATGGGAAAACGGCCGAGTCAAGCTTTATTATTATAATGATCATCATTGCCCTATGCCGTGCGGTCTTGAATCATGTCAACCAGCTAGCGGTGGCTGGTATCTCCCGTCCCCTCTCCAAGCATCCGCCTTTTCGAATCACATCGTTTGTCGTAAGTCATGGCGCAGCAGTCGGCTCCACGGGCTTCGTGTATGTCACCTTTTCCACCGCCACGTTTTCGTTGCCCTTGTCGTCTTTCCGTAGCTGGTAAACGTATAGAGTGAGGGAGATGCCTTGTACCTGTAAACAGTCAGCAAGCGGCCCTGTCTTATAATGTCTCACAAGCCCCGCGGGGCAGCGGGCAGTATACGTACGTCCATCAAGCAAAAGCTTGGGACGGGTTCCTCGCCGTCCTTGCCCCAGCTCGCGGTAAAGGCGCCTGTGGCGCTGCCGGGGTTGACGAAGAACTTGTCCATGTACTCAAAGGCGTCGAACTTGTGGGTTCCTCCCCAGCAGAGAACGTCGACGTCGAGCTTGTTGGCCTCGGCGAGGAGCAGGTCGGGCTCGTTGGAGACGAGGGTGAAGCCCTCGAGGAAGCCGATGCGCAGGGAACCGTGGGTGACGACCTGGGTCAGGGGTAGGCTGGTGGCCTCGACGTCGAAGCGGCCCTTGACGATCTTGAGGTCCGGGGCGATGGTCCGGAGGTACTCGTACGTGTGTTTATCCGTCAGGTTGCCCAAGCAGAGGGTCTGGCCGATCTTTCCCGGGGCGAGGAGCTTTTTGAACTGTGGGGTGTTAGTGGGAGTCGGGAAGACGGGCATGGGCATGGGCGCACCTTGGGAGGGATATCGAGGGCGCGATCTGGGATGTGCAGGTCTCCAATGACCAGTATCAAGAACGCCATGGCTGCGACGGCTCGGGGCGGTGCGTGCGATGCGCCTTTCGAGATCGTGATGGAGGCGCCGAGAGGTCGGGAGCTGCCTGGAGGGTCGCGCGGCCGATTGGGAAGGTCCGCGAGCCCGGTGGAGTCTGGCTAGGGTAGTTTCGAGGTCGCGCGATAAACAGAATAGCCTACGAGCGTGGCTGTCTTGTTGACAGGCGGATTTCGAATGGGACGTCCCTTGAACAGGTAGCTTGCTTGAGCAGCTTGACAAGTGTAGTAGCTCCCAGTGCGCCTTACTGCCAACGGTCGAGTGGGGCTTCGGTGAGCCTGTCAAGCCACAACACGGGGCGGGATGTTCCATGATGGCTGTGGCTCAGCAGGTGTGTCTACGTAGTAGTCAGCGCCGATATCGTCCGGTGTCGTCCCCCGAAACTCTCGTCGCGTCCTCGTTTGCTACCTGTTTGAATACGGAGCTCTCCACTTTCCGACGCCAAAAGACGAAAGACGACGGCCGTCTCCTGGCTCGGACTCGAATGCCGAGCCATTTATCCGCTGCCCTCGTACTTGTATGGGAATCATCTGTCCTACGCATTAGTGTACCCCAAAGCAGTGATGAAAAGGCACTGCCATCTAAAAATCAAGCAGGGATTACTTGATAACATTTCGTGTTCAATTGCTTTTTGTTTGTTTGATTAGTCTCCACGGGGCCGGTCCGAAGCAGCGCCTCCGATTCCCCGCTCCTTCAGAGTCATTTCCGTTCTCTTCGTCCCAGAAACACTCTCTCCCCAGCGGCGGGACTGATCCGAGCAGAGTCGTAAGCCGTAGCCCATCCAGCCCTTTGTCCTAGCTCAGCCACGTCCCGTCCGATAAAGACGATCGGCTTACCTCCCGAGGTGTGAATGACGCATAGGCGCACATGCACATTCCCCTAACGCGGATCCAGCTCCCTCTCCGCACATTGGCGAAGCAGGGGACAATGCCCCTCCACAACCTGAGCAACCCCTCATCAGCTCGGGTATCGCTCATCTCGAGACACCTGCAACCCGCAACTGCTACATCAACAGCCGTAAGTCCGCCTCTTGCCTGCCGTCCTGCACTGCTCCAATTGATCTTCCAATCACTCACACACATCACAACGAGACGCAGACACGACCATTTTCCACCATGTCTTCTCAACCGCCTCACCCAACCCTCCTGATTCCGGGGCCCATTGAGTTCGATGATGCCGTACTCCAGGCCATGAGCCACTACAGGTCTGTGACCCGCCAGCATACCGCCCGTGTCTCTCTCGCGGGTGTCCCCTCCCAACGTATTTGAAGCCATCGCGCTGACCTGAAGTGAACCTCTGTAGTGAGAGCCACGTCGGCCCCGGTTTTGTAAACACTTTTGGCGAGGCCCTGTCGATGCTGCGCCAGCTCTTCCAGACCAAGGACCCGCAGGCGCAACCGTTTGTCATCTCCGGCTCCGGCACCCTGGGCTGGGACCTGGTCGCCGCCAACCTTGTTGAGGCCGGCGAGGACGTCCTTGTCCTGGCCACCGGCTACTTCAGTAACGGCTTCAGCGACTGCTTCAAGACGTACGGTGGCAACGTCACCGAGCTGAGGGCCCCCGTCGGCGAGCGCCCTCAGCTCCCCGAGATCGAAAAGGCCCTGTCCGAGAAGAAGTACAAGGTCCTGACCGTCACCCACGTTGACACATCGACCGCCGTCCTGAGCGAGCTCAAGGAGCTGACCGCCCTGGTCAAGCGGGTGTCCCCCGAGACCCTGGTCATCGTCGACGGCGTCTGCAGCGTCGGCGTCGAGGAGATCCAGTTCGACGAGTGGAAGCTCGATGGCGTCATCACAGCCAGCCAGAAGGCCATCGGCGTCCCCGCCGGCTTGTCGATTTCCATGTTCAGTGGCGCCGCCATGAAGTCGTTTGCCCAGCGCAAGACGCCCCCGGCGTCTTACTTTGCATCATTCAAGAACTGGACCCCTAGTGAGTGACGGGCGCGCGCAGAGGAAGGGAACGCCGGCTGACCACCGCAGTCATGCAAAACTATGAGGCCAAGAAGCCCTCGTACTTCGCGACGCCGTCCCCCCAGTTGATCCACGCCCTCCACACCGGCCTCACCCAGATCCTCGCCAAGCCCCTGTCCGAGCGGTTCGCCAAGCATAAGGAGGTTTCCGATAAGGTCAAGAAAGCCGTTGCGGACCTTGGCCTGAAGCAGGTTGCCGCGAAGCCCGAGAACCAGGCTCACGGCATGACGGCCATCTACCTTCCCGAAAGCGTCAAGGCCGCGGAGCTGCTGCCCAGCCTGGCCAAGAAGGGAATCGTTTTCGCCGGCGGCATCCACAAGGAGATTGCGGCCAAATACATCCGTTTCGGGCACATGGGCGTCAGTGTGGTGAGTTTTTCCCGTCGTGGTGGCGAGAGTGATTGCTAATTGGCACAGACGGACCCTAACCGGAAGGATATTGACAACGCCATCAAGGCCCTCCAAGATAGTCTATTTGAAGTTGGATACCAGAAGGCGTAAGAAAATGCGTGTGTTGAACAGCGTCTACTTCCGTATTAGGTCTGACGTGGTAATTGTCAAAGAAATACATAAACATTCAGCTTAGAATCATCATCTTGGCAGTAGCTCGAGAAGCCAGAGGTGCAGTGCCTGAGGGGACTGAGTCGACGAGGTCCTTCCAAGCTCGAGATGGCCCGATGTTGATCAGCCCCGTTGTATTTGTATGTAAGCCTTTTGAACAAAATGATGGATCACCTCGCAGGGGACACACGGTGTAAGTGTGATGATGTCCGGGCGAGGGCCGGGGGACATTATGTTGCCGCCTTGGATGCAACTCGTTCCTGCCGCAAACCTAGGCTGGCAGTGGTTGCGATTATAAGCTTGAGGTTTAGGCAGTCTTCAGTGCCACGAGGGGTGGGCACGACAATCCAGACTGGAATGTGTTTCTCGGGCCATGAACGCCTCGTTTTCCGAGGCGCGACTGCATTGTCATTATTGCCGCTAGGGTGGGAGCCCGAGCGGCATGTATGTATGTATGTACCAGTACCTCTGTTTTGGGGGGGCTTCCAGCAGCTGGGCGAAACAAAAAAATTCCGATGCCTTACGTCGCCGCCGTGATGTCGTCGGTACTTCCTCCAGGCTCATGGCCATGGCGAGGGCGAGGGGAGGAGGCGAGAGGAGATGACAGTGATAGCCAGTCTACCTACCTATGATGTGCATCGCTGCAGTGTCAAAGTCTTCGGTTTATTGTGGTAGCCTCAATGCTGTTGCCGTGGGAATGGTTCAGTCAGGCAGGGTTCAGCGCGCCAGGTGAGCCCAGGTGGAAAAGAGGGGCGCAGTGCAGTGCAGTGCAGGCAGGCAGGCAGCGGAAAGTCTTCAATACAGCTGCCTGAAGAAGCACAGGATGTGCCCAGCGGCAGTGCGTCCGGCGGGCCCAAGCTTCTACACACGTAGGTTCGCAGCTCTAAGGCTAACGAAAGGAAAGAGGGGGCACCGGCGGGGGGGAGGGAAAACACACACACATGGAGAGAGTGTCGGTAAAGAGAGCGTCTGCGAGGGGAGGTATCGATACCACGGCGACCTGTGGCTGGTGGAGTTTAGCGGGCGGCTGACAAAATTGGTTGTTCCCCGCCATCCCGATCCGCCTCTTTCGCACTGCTCTTTTTGGACAACCAATCTATTCTCGCCTTCACGCCAGGCAGACTTTCCTCACCTCCCGCCCCTCCCTCTTGCTATTTCTGCTTCTCTCCTTCAATTGCGAAAGAAGAAGAAGAAAACCCTCTTTTGCAACCAAACACACGAACTCGTCCTCTCTCTGTTGCTGCATCTAGCCGTAGCGCTCGCATCCCCTCCCGCCGCCGCCGCCGCGCCCGCGCTCTCGCTTTCGTTCCCCCTCCTCACCTGGGGACGAGTGCCGCGACCAGATTCCCCCTCACTCGTTGCCGCCTCTCTTTTGCGATCGAGATCGACCTTCTTCCACCACCCTACCCGCCCGACCGCACCACCCGCGATGGCCATCACGATTCCTGAGCTGGACGAGATTGTCCGCTCTTTTTACGAGGGCCGTGGAGAGCAGGTGCGCCGCAGTTTTCCCTCCTTGGGCATCGGAGATGTCCTATAGAAACTGACCGATGATTTTGGAATACAGCAAAAGCAAGCGCAAGCTACACTCAACCAGGTACGCAGCCACCAGCCTCGATAGTGAGATATGGGCCCTGACACACACCTTGCAGTTCAAGGAAGACCAAGACTCGTGGCTCCTCGTCGACAAGATTCTCGCCGAAGCGACCTACCCCCAAACAAAGTGTACGTTGGGCGCAAATAGTACATGGGAATGCAACAGCAGCTGACCGGTTACAGTCTTGGGTCTGCAGGTGCTCGACAATGTGATCATGACGAGATGGAAGGTCCTCCCGAGAGACCAGTGTCAAGGTTTGCCCATCAACTCACCACCCCGCGTCCGTATCGCCCAGCTGACCAGCTCAGGTATCCGCAACTTTGTCGTGCAGTTCATCATCCAGTGCTCCAGCTCCGAAGAGACCATGAAGGAGCAGAAGACGCTGCTCAACAAACTCAATCTCGTCCTCATCTCGATCCTGAAGCAGGAATGGCCACACAACTGGCCCACCTTCATCAACGAGATCATCACGTCGTGCCACTCCAGCCTGTCCATCTGCGAGAACAACATGGTCATCCTGCGCCTGCTGTCCGAGGAGGTCTTCGATTACTCGGCCGAGCAGATGACGTCCACCAAGACCCGCAACCTGAAGACGACCATGTGCGCCGAGTTCTCCCAGATCTTCACCCTCTGCCAGGAGGTCCTGAACACCGCCGACCAGCCGAGCCTCGTCAAGGCCACCCTCGAGACATTACTGCGCTTCTGCAACTGGATCCCGCTTGGCTACATCTTTGAGACGCCCCTCATCGACACCCTGCGCACACGCTTCTTGCCCGTCCCCGAGTTCCGCAACGTCGCCCTGCAGTGCCTAACCGAGATTGGCGGCCTCCAGACCGGCGGGCCCGGACAACCTAATTCGTACGACGAGCAGCTGATCAAGATGTTCACCGAGGTCCTGACCACCATCGCGACCATCATCCCCATCAGCCTCGACCTCAAGTCGACATATCCCAACAGCAACTCCAGGGATCAGGAGTTCATCCAGAACTTGGCCCTGTTCCTGTGCAACTTCTTCGGCATGCACCTGAACGTGAGTCCGCAGGCGACCCGTCGTCATCCGGCCATGCTAACCCGTCGTAGCTCATCGAGAACCTGCCTAATAGGGACTTCCTCACCCACGGCCACTACTACCTGATCCGCATATCCCAGATCGATGACCGTGAGATCTTTAAGATCACCCTCGACTACTGGCTGAAGCTCGTCAATGAGCTCTACGACGAGATGCAGCAGCTCCCCATGACTGAGCTCAACCCCCTGATGGGCATGGCCGGCGGCATGTCCGGGGCCGGCGCCCCTAACCCGACGCTGCTTAACAACTACCCGCTGCGCAAGCACAAGTACAATGAGGTCCTGTCGAACCTCCGCACCGTCATGATCGAAAAGATGGTCCGTCCCGAAGAGGTCCTCATCGTCGAGAACGACGAGGGCGAGATCGTGCGCGAGTTCGTCAAGGAGAGCGACACGGTGCAGCTCTACAAGACCATACGAGAGTGCCTGGTGTACCTGACGCACTTGGACGTGGTCGACACCGAGAACATCATGACGGAGAAGCTCGCCCGCCAGGTGGATGGCACGGAATGGTCTTGGCACAACTGCAACGTGCTCTGCTGGGCCATCGGCTCCATCTCCCTGGCCATGAACGAGGAGACCGAGAAGAGGTTCCTCGTCACCGTCATCAAAGACCTCCTTGGCCTCACCGAGATGAAGCGCGGCAAAGACAACAAGGCCGTTGTTGCCAGTAATATTATGTACATTGTCGGGCAGTACCCCCGGTTCCTCAAGGCCCACTGGAAGTTCCTCAAGACCGTCGTAAACAAGCTCTTTGAGTTCATGCACGAGTCCCACGAGGGTAGGCCGCCCCCCCCCCCCCCTCTCCCGCGGCGCGCGTCAAGCGAAGACAAACTAACCCCGTCGCAGGTGTCCAGGACATGGCTTGCGATACCTTCATTAAGATTGCGAGGCAGTGCCGCCGCCACTTTGTCGCCTTGCAGCCCAGCGAGCAAGAGCCCTTTATCGAGGAGATTGTGCGCAACATGCACAAGATCACCTGCGACCTGTCGCCCCAGCAGGTCCACACCTTCTACGAGGCATGCGGTTACATGGTGGCCGCCCAGGGCAACAAGCACCAGCAGGAGCGGCTCTTGAGCGATCTGATGGCCATCCCCAACGCGGCGTGGGATGAGATCATTAAACAGGCACGGGTCAACCCCGTCATCCTCCAGGATGCCGAGACGATCAAAGTCATTGGCAACATCATGAAGACCAACGTTTCGGCATGCTCGTCCATTGGGCCCTACTTCTACCCCCAGATCGGCCGCATCTTCCTCGACATGCTGCAGATGTACCGCGCCACCAGCGAGCTGATCTCCGAGGCCGTCCAGAAGCAAGGTATGTTACATGTATGAATGTGGGGGAACGCAAACTGACACATTGCAGGCGAGATTGCCACCAAGATGCCGCACGTCCGCGGGCTGCGCACCATCAAGAAGGAGATCCTTAAGCTCGTCGAGACGTACGTCGAGAAGGCCGAGGACTTGCAATCCGTGCGCCAGCAGATGGTACCCCCCTGCTGGAGTCGATCCTCATCGATTACAACCGCAACGTACCCGGTGCCCGCGACGCCGAGGTTCTCAAGGCCATGTCGGCCATCATCACCAAGCTCTCCACCCTGATGGAGGACCAGGTCCCAAATATCATGGAGAACGTCTTCGAGTGCACCCTGGACATGATCAACAAGGACTTCTCCGAGTTCCCTGAGCACCGCGTGGAGTTCTTCAACCTTCTGCGCTCCATCAACCTCCACTGCTTCCCCGGTACGTGTATTGCCTCCCCCTGTGCACCCAGAGGGCCGAAAAGCTGACCGTGACCAGCGCTGTTGAAACTGGACAACCGCCAGTTCAAGTTCGTCATCGACTCGTGCTCCTGGGCATTTAAGCACGACAACCGCGACGTCGAGGCTGCGGGACTTAACATGTGCCTGGAGCTGATCAACAACATCGCTGAGAAGACGGACGTCCAGACGGCCAACGCCTTCTTCCAGCAGTTCTTCATCACCATCCTGCAGGACGTCTTCTTCGTGCTCACCGACAACGACCATAAAGCGGGCTTCAAGACGCAGTCTATGGTCCTCATGAGGATGTTCTACTTTGTCGAGCCCGCCGACGGGAGCGCGGCCAAGATCCAGGGCCCCATCTACAGCCCTGACCAGGCCGCCGCTGGCACCTCGAACAAGGAGTTCCTCGCCAACTTTGTGGCCAATCTGCTCCGCGGGGCCTTCCCCAACCTGCAACCGTGAGTGCTTTTTTTTCCTTGTCCTGATGTCGCGTGGCATGCACTAACAGTCCTCAGTGCGCAAATTCAGACCTTCGTCGAGGGTCTGTTCACACTCAACACCCAGTACGACAAGTTCCGCCTCAACCTGCGCGATTTCCTCATCTCCCTGAAGGAGTTCGCC